TCTGAGAACAGTCTCCACTTTCTTTGTCCCCACCATCTGGCCTTCTATACACACTGTAAAACCCTTCACAAAGATGATTATTTTCTCAAGGCTAAGCAATCCCAGCTGTCTTAGCCTGTTTTCATGTGTCAGATTCTCCAATCCCTTAATCATCTTTATGACTCTTTGCTGGAATCAACCCAGTAGCTCCATGTTGTCTGGGAAGCCCAGAATTGATCACAGCGCTCCAGTGCTAAAAAGAAGGTGAAAGGATCACCTCCCTTGACCTGCTAATAACACTCATTCCTGGGTTGTTCGTATGGCACTGCTTTTCAGCTGGCTGTCTCCAGTCTTTGCAAGTTCCTTGTTTTGAACTTCATGAGGTTCTTGTCAGTCTCTTGATATCCTTCTGCATGGTGGGGCCACCATCTGGGGTGTCAGACACTCCTGGTTTTGTATTACAGAATGATAGAATGGCTTAGTTTGGAGAGGACCTTAAAGATCCAACCCCCTGCCATGGGCAAAGTTGCCACTCTCTGGATCAGGCTGCCTAGGATCCTCTCCAACCTGGCCTTGACTGCCTTCAGAGATGGGGCATCCACAACCTCTCAGGGTAATCTGCTTCAGATCCTCACCACCCTGTAAGTAAAAAATTTCTCTTAACATCTAACCTAAATCTCTCCTCTTTTAGTCTAAAGCCATTTCCCCCTTGTCCTATCGCAGTCAGACTGTAAAAACTTGGTCCCCTTCCTGCTTGTAAGCTCCCTTCGACTGCTGGAAGACCACAATAAAGTCTCCTCAGACCATCTGCAAACCTACTGCTCCATCATTTAGCTCATTAATTAAGATGTAAAGTGATATTGGCTCTGCTGTTGTCCTCTGGGATACTCCGACAACATGACTGGCCTCCAGCTGGACTTTGCTTCTGATCACAACAGTTTGTTTAGAAGTTTCTGAAGTTTTCAGTCCACCTCATTGTCTTTTTGTTTAGTCCTTACTTTATGAGTTTGCCTTTGAGGTTGTTAGGGAGAACAGTGTCAAAAATTGTACTGAAGTTAGGATAGACACCATCTGTTGCTTTTTGTTCATCTGCCAGGCTGGTACTTTCATTGTAGTAGGCTATCATGTTGTTTGAGTATGGTTTCCCCTTTGTAAATACATGCTGAATGCACTCCATCTTGTCCTTTGCATGTTTGGGAATGGTTTCCTGAAATATTTGCTCCATTGTGCTCCTAGGGGTTGAGCTCTCCTGCTATTCTTGAAGAAAAGAGTGGTCTTTGATTTCTTTTAGCCCTCAGAACCACCTCCCCTTGTTTTCTATAACTTTTTCTATAACTTTCTATAACAGGACACTGAAGAACTGTGGCCTCTCAGTGGCATCACCTGTTTCTCTCATTACTTGTGTATGTGTCCCATCAGATCCCATGTAACTGTTTTTTTGTTGTTTTTTTTTTCCCAGTTGTTTTAAATACTTCCTAAATCAATTCATAGTTGCTCAGCATGTCTTCAGTTCTTCATACTTTCCCCCAGGTTTTGGAAGATAGCTTTTCCTGAAATCTACCTAGTAAAGACCAAGGGAAAGAAAGCACTGAGTAACCTGTCCTTCACTGGGTCCTCTGCTTTCTCTCATCTTTCTTTTGCTGCTTATATACCTGTAGAAGTCTTTCCTGTTGCCCTTCTCTTTCCTTGCCAGATTTAACTCCAGATGGGTTTGGCGCTCCTAATCCTGTCTAATCCTAATTGGTTCTGACAGTTTAAATAATGTTGAATGTTTTCCTCTACACTGCTGTCTCATGATTACTGAAGACTGAAACACAGATAGTTGTATTTGAATTGAGAGAATGTCCCTCTAACAATCAACTCCCTTGTGTTTATGCAGGTGAATTTTAGCACTTCAGTTTTTCCGTGAATTAAGCAATAGTATTTTACAAATGCTTGGAGTTCCTGTGTCAGATAAAGAACAAAGTATATGCTAAATTGGATAACACTGATAAGGAACAGTATTTTTGCATGTGGTTCTAGCGGGGGGGAAAAAAAAAAAAAAAAAAAAAAGAAAAGAAAAAAAAGAAAATGTAAGCAAGACCTCTTCTTAAATCCCTATGTTGGGGTTGCAAGATGAGATCATCTTAGTAAGTATATTTAGATATGTAAAATGATAATGACAAGTTTATCTTATGCTGTTTTGTTGAACACACCCTTGAAGAGATAATTTAAGAGTAATAGAGGTACTTGACAACTCTTCATGAAACAGGAGCTTGAAAATTACACATTTCCAGATCTTTAGGTGCAATATTAAAAGGCTCTCAGAAACCAGGCGAGGTTCAGTACAGTGTTCTTACATACGTATTCTTGCAAATGAAAACATTGCCTGTTTTGTAGAAACATTAGCTGAGACATAAGTGTTGAAAGAAACAGCAGCAAGATCAGGCAGTGCTGAATGTAGAGGTAGTGGGACTTGGTATAAGCAATGGGAAACTTGGGTTTCATGGCCTATTTTGCAAGAATCTGTAAAGACTGAAGAATGATGAAAGTGATGTAATGGAACAAAAAGCCAGAAGGGTCTCTTCCTGTATTTGATTTCCTAGCAAATGCAAACCTGAATTTTATTTGAGGTTTGAAAACCTTCAGATGAACCCTGAGCCTTGAGTGCAGCCGGGCTAATTTATGGCTTTGTGATTTCAATCTGTAGCAGGCAAAACTGTGCTGGCTGCAGCAGTTTTGAATTCTTTGAGGTTTCAATGGCGAGTCATTAGCTTTTTCAGCCCTTCTTTTAAATTTTAACAGATATAATTTTTCCCCTGGCTGTTCATTCAGATGTTTCATATGGATAAAAATTAAGATGAAGCAAGCTCCCAGCCTGTAAAACAGGGTTCGAATAAAAGAAGTCATTTCTAATTTCAGTGCAGTTTTACTTGTCTGCTTTACTTAATGTTGTAGTTTTAAAATAACATACAGAATTTCTGAGAAGAATAAATTTGACAAGATGTGAATTTCTCATAAACAAAGCAAAGATAACCAGGCTAAGCATTGAAGAGATCGTACACCTTTTTTTTTATTAGAGCTTCACTGGTTTGAAATTCTATGCCTATGCAAAGTTAATATAAACTGTATTTTGCATATTGTATCTAACTTAAGTTATGCCAAAGCATAACAGAATGTGTGAGTAGCACTTTCATCTCAAGTGAAAGGTTTATAGGTTAAATCCGAAGTATGCATGACACAGCAGCTGCTTCTGTGATCATTTGGTGGCACAAAGATGAAAACATTTTACTGTTATTAGTCATTTTGTACCACCCTCCCAATACACTTGCAATTATTTACAAGAGAATGCATAGAGAAGCTCAATGAAACATCTTGTAGGTGGATATAGGTGGTCAAGTGTTACACTGGGGCTGGAATCTTAGGGGCAGATGAAATTAGCTGGTGAAGGTGCATTCTCTTTGGTTGTCAATGTACTAGTGAATGGGGTGCGTGTGGAGCATCGTGTTCTGCCAGGCAGAAGTCATGGGGAAGCTTGAGTCCAAGCTAGTCAGATCTCCCTACCAATATGCAGGCGCAAGTATGGAGCTGCCAACTGGATGTGGGCCGTAGAGGGTTTTTCTTCCAAGCAATGCTTTGGATTTGCTTGGAAGAGTGCTAGCTGGGCCAGACCACAACCTTGATAGGAACCTTCCAAAGAATTTAAAGATATGTCTACATAATACCAGTGCCTGGGTGCATTGCCTGGAAGCATTTAATCTACTGATTTTGATATATCCTTGATGTCTTTCAGGATACCGACAGTGTCTTGTTTTTCATTAACTCAGTTAATAAATATATTATAGGAAATTTAACGTATATTTTCTACATGAGCATGAGATACTGCTTTCTGGTTCATTCTCAACTTGTGTGTGTGTGTTGAGCTCTTATCTTCCTGACAGTGTCAGGAACCCACAGTGCAATGAGAACCTGATGGCCCAGTGCAGACAAGACAAAAGATCTGTTCTGGCCTGATGCCAAGAGAGCTGGCAGAAAAGAATAACATATTCCAGGAAATAAGTACACGTCATTCTTCAATCAGAAACTGCTTGTTGCAGCACCAAGCATATTTTGCAGGAAGCAAAAACAAATTTGGTGTGTTTTCCAACTTGTTCTGTGCAACAATAAAAATTCATGCTCATGCAACATGTTTAAGGTAGGATGATCTTGAAAATGCAACTGTAATTCATGGTTAACGCCAAGCATATGCTCACACAGAGATGGCATCTTCCATAACTTCAACAAATAAAAATGTTGTGCTTGTGAGAAATATGCCTTGTTTCCACGTGCAGAGCCACGTGCTACACTTTCTGCTTCTTTTTTTCAATATCTATTTTATCCTGTTGTCTCTTCTCCTGTAATTCTCAAATGTCTAGTTGCTAGTGTGTTATAAACAGCAAAAATCAGAACCTTTTTTCCTACTTGCTAATTAGAATCATCAAATGGCTTGGGTTGGAAGGAAATTTAAAGCTTATGCAGTATCATGGTGGGCTGCTGCCCACCAGCTCATGCTGCCCAGGGCCCTATCCAACCTGGCCTTGAGCACTTCCAGGGTTGGGGAATCCACAGCTTCTCTGAGCAACCTATTCCAGTGCTTCACCACCCTCTGAGTGAAAAATGTCCTCCTAAAATCTGATCTAATTATCCCCTTTTTTAGTTTGTTTTATCCCCTTGTTTCGTCACTACTAGACTGCATAAAAGTCTATCTTCAACCTGTTCATTAGCTCATCTAGTACCTGGATGTTTCTGCAGAAAGGTAGTCTGCCAGTGACCTCATTGTGATGCTTAAGAATGTACATAATTGTATGTGAGTTTGTTTCGAAAGAAAAATATACTTTTGTCACTCACTGATGTTGCACCTTAATGCCAATGAAAGGTAACAATACAATAGGAGCTACCTCACCTTCATCCCAGTAGACAGTTCTGAAACTGACACATCTTTTAGATGTTAATACTTAAAACTACCTCAGTGCCTAAAATGTGTTTGTTTGTTTGTTTTCCAGCTGTGGGACCTGCTGCAAAAGTTGCAGTTCATCATGACATACATCGCTCCCTGGCAGATTGCCTGGGGGTCATCGTTCCATGTGTTTGCTCAGCTCTTTGCAATACCTCATATCCTTTATATTTTTCTTTATTCTTGAATTCCTTTTCATGTATATAATTTATTTACAGTGTTTGAACAAGGTGTGAAGTTTCCAGGTAACCTGTATTTTTAAATGTGCAAATGTTTACAGTAAATCCACGGAAATCTGGCTTTCGCTGTTTCTTGACTATGTAGGATCTGAAATGGGGAAACTGAATTCCAACGCAAGCTGCTTTATTTAGGCCTTTCCACTTCTCATCCAGTCACATATCTGTAGCCCTCAGCACTGAGTTCTGATGCATTTGGAAAGAAGCAGTTTGGCTGACATAGTACCTCCAGGTTTTATGTATACAGGAGCTAGTTTTGTGAAGTGCTGGATGTATTGCTGACTGAGCTCTAAGATACTACTTACTTTCTCAGTTGCTTCTAATTACTATCTCACATACAAATTCATGTCAGTGAGCCAGTTTCTGTTGCAATTGACCTGATTTTTTTTCATGTTTCAAAAGCAAGTGTATTTTAACATTTCTAAGTACACTTTTCATTGTGGAGCTGAAAAGCATTTGTCTTTTTGACATTTCCACTCTGTTTTATAAATATATTCATCAACACTAAGACAGTCCTTCAGAAACTTTCTCAGTGCCCATTCCAGGGCTATGAACGCTTTGTTTTTTTTATGAATACGGAGAGTTAAAACACAGAGTCTAACGACCTCCAAATGCCTGCAGGGATTAAAAATATAGAGGACTTTTTAAACAAAATTGTTTCACTTTGAAGTTTAATTCTGTTAGGAACTTGATTTAATACAGGAAAAAGGTAATGAAGTAAAACACTTTAGCTTATCAAATTTAACTTCATTAGCATGCCAAGTATTTTTGGAGACTAACTTTTCATTTCTTCCTTCCCTTCCAATTGAATCTGTGAAAAAGAGTTGGGTGAAGTGTTTTTAGTTCAGATCTGCTGAAGAGTTAACTATGTACTGTTTATTAGGTACATACATTTAAATCTTTGACCTTTCATCCTGTAGAAAATGGTTCTTTCCCTAGAGTGATTTTTTTTTCCCCCTCTTGAGTGATTTTTCCCCTCTGCTATTTGCTGTGATATACTTAATCATATGCTACATTGATTAACTGTGCATGTGTTTGTAGATGGGAAACATAAATTGGAGTCTTTCACAGATGGAAGTGAAGACAGAATAACTCCCAAAAGGAAAGCTTTAAATTGGCTATTTACAAACAAAAAACATTGTTAAAAATTGTTAGTTATCAGAAATTTTTGAATGATTTGTAGCAAGTTACAGTGGAATTTCACAACAAAAAAGTTATTTTCATCTCTGTTATAGGTATGAATTGCAGGAAAAAATATAAAGTTATTTAGCAAAACATCTGAGTATTAAGATTATATTTCAGTGCATTTCTGTTTGATCACATATATTTTTGCACAGTGATAACTTCAGTCTTGAAAAAAGTACCAAGTAAGCTTTGCAAAATGGAAAGCAGTGAACTATCAGGATTCAGTTTGTTTACACGCTTATTACCAAAGTGATCTAAATTAGCTTTCTATTATTTATACTAATAATGTCCTTGTAAATGTGCATCTATCTTTCAAGACAATGTGGCAATAAAGGTACTGGTTCAATGCCCGAGTTACTATTCCCACAACAACAACTTCTCTGCCTTTTTTGCACAGTATTTTTATTTGTTGTTACCATAACCCTGCAGACAGTACTGATGAATACATATTGCATGTATGGCACTAAATCTGCCTTTTCTTTGCAGAATTAAATATTTGCGGCTCTTAATTGCCCAGATCACTTCCACAAACAAGACACCAAAATTTAAATTTAAAAGCTCCTAGGTGAGTTTTTGCTGTAGAACTCAATGACTGAGAAGTTCCAACTACCTCAGTGAATTTCATTCAGGTGTGCAGGGAATGAAGAGAAAGGAACCTGGAGCTTTGCCTGGAGGGCATTGTAGAGTCTTCACCATGAGTGTTCTTAATTCTGCAGTTCTGAGCTGAGTCTTCAGAAGCAGAAATTGACTTCAGGCTGGAGGACAGATCTGCTACTTCATTTCCCAGTGTTTAAATGGGTGAAATGAGATTGTGCTCATTTCTTTTACATTGCCAGCACATTGAGAAAGTTAGTCTAGTTTGTAGTCTAAGCAGGTTTTTACCTAAAAAATAAACAGTGAGATTCTGAAAGAAAGGATTTGTAGTTTAGATTATTCTGCTTTAAAGTGCTTCTGCCTTCAGTGTATCAGGATGACAACTCTAGCAGCAGAAAAGAATGCCCTTTGAAAATCGATTCTTCCACCTCTAAGAAGTGCTCTCATGCCTGGAAGTGACCAAATGTCTTAGCTCAGAGTAACTGCAATTAAAAATGTGTGTTCGGGCATTAGAGGCTTTGGACTGGATTTACTGCATAGTTGTGTATTGAAGGAAGGGGATGGAAGATTTTTAAAACATAAACCTTTCATTTACTTGTTTTGAAGCTGATCTGAATTCAGACAGACTTTTAAATAATATTTAATCCTCAAATAGAATGTTTTATTTCACTCTGAACAACTTTTGGTTAATTCTTCTCAAAATTTGATTTTAGCCACTTTGAAAATAAAATCCATTATTCACAAATAAAGAAATTCTGCTTCTACAGTGTACAATGTAACAAAGATGGCACGCAGGCAAACTCACTTGAGATGCAGAGCAAGAAAGAATGGCTGTAGATTTTTGACAGTTTTATATATATATATATATATATATATATATGCACCAGATACATCAAATGTGTATATATATCTGTATATTACTGCACACATCCGCTCTAGGTAAGTATTTCTGGTGCTGTTACTTGTTTTCATGACACGTTTACATATGTGAAACACTTTATTAAAGTCACTCTTCACGAGTCAAATGAGAAATAGCTTTTGACTTGTATGTAGTAGAGCATTATGTCTTTCAGCAAAAATAAAACTGTTGCTACTGCTTATGTCTTTAACACAAACAGTTCACAGGGGAATCCTAAATGTCTTAACTCATGAAAGTGGCAATTTTTAAATCAATGATGACATTAGAACTCTGTAGGAAAATGGATTTACTGTCCTTATCTGTTCTCCTTGTTCTTTTTTGTCTCTTCAGCTCCCATGCCTCCTTCCCTTATTCAACACTTGCAAATACTTGTTCATCTTTTGCAGTCAATGCTGCTTATGACTACAGGGTAATGTGACAGTTTAACTTTTGGTGTACTTGCTTCCTGCTCTGTGCACTGTCACTTTTTGAACTCTAGACTCTAAGGGCAGCTCATTTTGCAAGTTCACTAATGCATAAAGACACCATTCACAACCACTTTCTTTTAATATGTTTGAGGGATTTGAGAGAGATCTTTTGGCAAATATTTGTTTGTAGATTTTTTCAAATTGCTTTGAAAGCACGGCTGGTTAGCCTTTTAATGGAAATAATGTATTGCAAATGATGCTACATTTGTGAAGATGTTTACTGTACAGACTTAGACTGCGGAGGACACATTATTAGAACTAAAAGGCTGTGGTGGTTGAGCAATTTGACTTGAATTTTAGAATGAGATGCACTTGATTGCTGTACTTGACGGTTGTCCCTTTGTCCGTGGCTTCTATATTTGGTACGTTCCTTTCAATGGAAGTCGAAGTCCTTTGTTAAGGAAGGACAACTTGTCGTTTACACCACCTTGGGTACTTTTTTCCTGAGATTCCATGGTCATGGTTTAAGATAAAGAAGAATTCATGCTGAAGAGTTTGCCTGTGTTTTGTTTTGTTTCGAAATCATGTTTCTTTTAATATGTATCTTTTGCTGTGTCCTTATCCATTGCCTAAGTTGCTTTCCAGCAATCTAGAATAAGAATTTAAAGTAAGCCATGGATTTATGTATTCATTATAGTATTTCTGTGGTATTTTCTATTCCTCTGTCCTCATCCTCTCATTTTGTACATATTTCAAAAAGCATTAAATGCAGAACATTTTTTTAACTTTTAAATCAGCATGAAATTTTAAATTGTTGATAAAAACTAACCTGACAGTGTGCTTTAAAGCCAGCAAGTTGGATTGTATAGGCGTAGTACTAGCTAATTTCCAAATAAGTAGGAACTCACAAAATGAAGTGTCAACCTCGCTAGTAGGATGATTCCAATGCAGAGAACTAAGAATTTCCATAAAAATAATTATTTTTTGGCTCTGCATGTTAAAACTGTATCTGTCAGACTCTCAAGAATCTCTTTGTGTTATAGAAGATATGTTCGGTAGATAGAAAAAGGTGCTGCTGTAGCTACAATCAGGATCTGTCCTTGGGCAGAGGTTAGACCAAGTCACCCTGCTAATACTGTACTCTATTCAAACTTGTCACCTCCATTACAACTGTGCAACATTGAAAAGACAGGGATTACATGCTTGTAATTGGCAATTTGGCACTGCCTGACTTCCTTTCTTCTCCCTCTACCTCTTTGGTAAGATAAGCAATAAAAAGGCAAAAATGGTTTTAAGAATTTGCCTCAAAAATGGTTTGAAAGTATGACTAAATAATGTGTGTTACCTTAACTTGCACTTTTCAGACTCTGCCATGCTTTTTTTCCAAACTCTGGCCACTTCAGTCTTTTCTACTCCACTGAGTCCATTCCTTGGTAGTGTCATCTTTATTGCATCATACGCAAGACCGATCAAGTTCTGGGAGAAAAATTACAAGTAAGACTATTCAAAAGTTATTTTTAAAGGTTTTGCTCTCGTTCATTTTATTTCTGGAAGTATTTTTCTTTACGAAGATATTCCATAAACTGTTGTAGGCCATGAGGAGTTAATCTTCTGAATCTTGATTCTGATGTTTTACTCATATTCATTCTGTTGTTTCTAACAATGTATATAAACAATTATCAGTATGCTACAGATAAGCTGTCACATTGCATTTGTTTTACAGGCATACAATAACAAAGCTGTGGAAAAAAAAAATGGTAAAACTCCCAGTTGTCAGCCTTTTTTGTCTTACTAGCTAGTGTTAGCAACTAAATCTGTTAAGCCTTTGGCACTACAAGTCAGGCTGCATTAATGTATTTTATACTGGCCTGATTAAATGTTACCACTGGGATGTGGCAGGTAACTCTTATAGAGAAGTGATGATGAGTGTGCATTGTAATTACTTGCTACATCTGATCTTAGAGTTTGACATAGGAATTTGTTGTCAGACTTTAGCTGTCATTCATGCAGTTTCATGAGGACATAGACTTAGAATATTGAACAGATTGAATAAAGAGCTGCTCGTTTTATCCTGTGGGATTTCAGAGTGCTTGGTAATGGGGATTGAAGGGTTTCCAACAAGAGTAGCAGATAAAAGAGAATGGTCTTATTCAACTAGAGGTAGTTTTCAGAAGGAATGCGTACCAACATGTTACTGGGCTCTGAGTAAACATGGCAGCTGCAGAGCACTGGTGGGAAGCACAAAGTGAAAATTGTACTGGCCAAAGTAGGATTTGGTCAAAGCAATGAGAAGCGTTGTGCATTTATCACGCATCTTGTATTCGATACCGTGAGAACCTTGACAGAGTTCAGAAGTGGAAATGACAGTGATAGCTTCCTCCATCTTTTTAGGGGGAAGGATCTGATGAATTTCTGAAGAGTTTTATTTTTTTGTTTCAGTTTGACTTGTGTTAGCAAGCAAATATGTACTCCTCTATAAAGAAACTCAGAGATGAAGCCAAGTTAAATAAAGCTTCTGAGTATGATGAGATTTGTGGAAAGCTTTTGGAGCAAGCTGAGCTTTGTGTGCTTCACAAAATTCTTTGTCACACATCCTTTTCTGGGTCAACAACTTCATTTTACTGATGGTAGTCTTGGAAAGTCAGTAAGCTACTGCTAATCCCACAGACAGCTTTACATTTTGGACAGAAATTTTGAATAGTAGGAAGTGGAGAATTGAATATTTTCTGCATTTCAACCAGAGCATTTTGAAGGCACGTGGCTGCTTTTTTTCTGTGCAGGTTAGAGAATTGGACTCATTAACTGTAGGCATATCACTTGCATGTAGTTAGATTAGTGTGATATCTATAGGTTAATGTAGAAGGAAATAGATGGGAACATTTTAATTTGCTTTGAGTTGGTCTAAAGCTTTGGGGACAAGATGAACAGAAGATATCCAAAGGAATTCCAGAAGATGGTGGTTAATGCTTAAATTAGAGAGTCTTGTTTTCATCAGTACTGACAATAAGTGACTCCTTCCAGAGGAAGTAAAGAAGCTGATGCTAATCATTTTTGAAAATAAAACCCCATGTCAAAAAAATTTAACATTTTTAATGCTTTAAACTGCTGCTGCTTGTCTTTTCAAAATAAGCAGTGATTACAGCTTTGTCTTCAATGTGAATGCTCAAATTAGAGCTGTGAAAGGTTTGTGCTTTGTTGTTTGTTAGAAATTATGGTACATCTTTTGGTCTTATCACTTAAAACACAAAACCACAACCTTTCCCTCAAAAAAAAAAGTTCAGAAATAGTAAGAGGCCTTGTAGAACACTCAGATAATCATAAAAATGAAATAAATGTTTGCCTGAACCTGTGGCACTCCACAGTATGCGTCTCCTAAATTGATGTTTATTTTGTCCCTAGCAGTTCTGACTCTTCTTTGCCTTGCTTGCACTTCAGTATTTCACTGCTCATGTGAAGAACTGAGCAGAGTGAGTGACAGCTGGACTGAAAAATTCCAGGGTCATTAAAGGGACACAATGATAAGACAGAAAAATTCAGGGGAAGGAAATAATATTGCACTTCAAGTAGGGAAATTTCCTTCGAAATGTTTGAAATAATTGAATAAAGTGAGACTGGCATTGTCTTATTGCCTTAAATCTTTACCCTTCAGTATCTAAAAAATCAAAAGCGTGGCTTGACTACTTTCTGTCAGAGCTGTAGAGTTAAATAGGCTCAGGAATTTGAACTGTAAGGGAAGGTTGTTCTTTCTCCCTCCACTAACCTCTCTTTGGGCAGCAGTGTCTTGGAGCAGGACACACACACTGAGTTTTCAGGTGCTACAAGGCCAAACAATGCACAGAGGCAAGTTATTTCTTTTTGGAGTGCACTGACAGTTAGTTTTGCTAAATTTTGCTCTCAATGTTCATGGATAGTTACAGGTTCAGTACAGTGGAGTCTGGGGTAGATGAAGCAACCTTGACTTTTTTTCTTTTCTTTCTTTCTTTTTTTTTTTTTTTTTTTCCAATTCTATACTCATTACCTGTTGACAGAGACTTCTTCCCAGGGGAAAGCTACTTCCAGTGTGCTTTATATAGCTTTCTTGTTTTGCCTATTTTGCATATTCATTTTCAAACACTTCCTTATCTTGTTGATGCCTACATTAAATTATCATATTTATATTAGCTACTCAAAAACTCGTTTATGTTTGTATGAGATTACACAGATAGTTATTTCATGGCTGTATTTTTATAGTTTAACTAGTTAACTACACTAACCAAAAACAATGTTGGCAAGCAACCTACATGTCTCAACTTAAAATATGATGGTTTTGTTTCTCTTTTGTTTCTCTTCTAATAAGGTTGCATTGATAAAGCATCTATCCTATTTATCAGTATTTGCACACTTCTCTGCTGTCAATCAAACTGCATTCCTTTGTTGTTTCACTTGAGCAAAACCCATTTTGCACACTCCATTTTCTCTCATCTCACTTGGGCCAGCAGTGTGAAATTAGCTGAGTTAAAAGCATCAGGTTCGTTTTCTGTAAAGTGAATCCAGAACTAAATCTTTGGACATTAACAAGCAGAGAGCCCCACATTAAATAGGCTCTTAGGTAAGTTGCTTGGGCAGTGAGCAGCTTCTCCATCTGTGTCTTAAAGCGTTGTCTTGGTTGTCACAACCTGATATGTTCTGAGAGCATATGAGCACGTCTTAAGTTTCCAAGCCTTACCTTTAGTCTCAGGTTTTTTTTGCTGACTACTCAGAAATTTGGTTTCTCAGGTTTCTTACAGGACATCTGCCACTCTGGATGGTGTGATTTGGAGTTGAAAGTCTTAGGGAATGCAGATGATGGCTTGTTTGTTTTCCTGGGGAGATGGAGAAACTCAAATGGGTAAAAAAAAATAAAAATAAAGAACAACAACAAAGAAAAGTTCCTCTTAAGCAGTAAGCAAACTGTGAAATTCCTAGCAAGCTCCTCAAATTTAGGAACCATGCTGTGCCTGTTTGTGCTCTGGCAGTGTGTGCACAGAGCATGGGTGTCCTCCTTAGAGCTGACATATGCTGGTTGTTTATAGCGCGTGCTTCTGGGCTCACTACAGTGTGAAGCCGGGCACAGCTATGCATCACAGAGGTCAGGGATCTTTCTGGAAGAAGAAGAAAGAAATCAGGCCATAGGGAGGGGAGGTTAGGAAACAATGACCTCTCATACCACCATTTTTTACAGCTTTTGCTGCCTATGTTGTTGAAAAGAGGGGTAGAAAGAAAGATGGCCTGCACTCAGGAGCTAGTTGTCCTGTGGGAGTCCAATTCTGAGAAATTTTCTCTTTTAAAAGAGTTTGGGTTTGTCCTGCCGTCAGCCTGAGTTCTGTTTCACTCTTTATTTTCACAGCTGTTGGAACGATTAGGCTGTAGATGTCAGAGAGAGAAAAGGAAACAGCGGTAAATCTTGTTTAACGTATAGACACTTTAAAGTGTAGCTTTGGCTGAAATGCTGTTGTTCCATTCCACTGCTTTGCTTTCTTTCTTAACTACTTTGTCTCCCTCTTGTCTTCCCTTCCTCTTATCTCACGTTGTATCTCAGATATGGGAACTAACAGAACAGAGCAGAAAGTATACTTTCATTCCCTAGCAGATCTAATCCCAAGATTGCCCTGAGCAGACCCTTCTCTGCTGCAGCTGTGACTTGTCCCCACAGACAATGAGCTGCCACCAGCACTCCAGGGTTTTAAGTGCCTGCAAACCTCTCCCCCCTCTCACGTGCTCTTTCCTGCCTCTGTTCTTCCCTGGTCACTTGGTTTGGTGCCTGCTTTTGGGTAAGGGGCAGCTTGCATTTGCTTTGAAAGATCTCTAGTGAATTGCTGTCTGGTTTAACTAAATTAATTAGTGTCCTAAAAGAAGCTGTGATTAAATTGTCAGTTACTTCAGAACAGCATTACTAGATGCCTCTCTCTGTTTGAGAATATGTGAGCAAGTCTTTCTTTTCTCCAACTGCATCACTGTGTTGTTGCTCGGTCATTGTGGTCTGGCAAACAGCTACCTGTATGAGGTTCATATAGCTGGGGATAGACGGTGAGGAGAATGTGCCCTCTCTTAGATTTAATGCAGCTGCCATTTTCTTTTTTTTTCTGCTGTCTGTCTGACATAATTTGTCCATCATGCACAGCCTGCAGGTGGAGTGGGGAGAGTTTTCCAAATGTGAACATAACAAGGATTGACCTCACACTGTGCACGTGTGTGGGAAAAGGAGATGTGAAAAGTACCCATCTGCTCCTTTCCCTTTTCCCATAAAATAACAAGTCTTCCGCTTCCAAATTATTATTTTTTAATGCACCCTAGGGCATCTGGTTTCCCTGTGAGCCTGCTCATCTGGTGCAGCTGCCAAAAGCCCTGGTCCAAACACAAAATGAAATACCATTCACCCATAGCTGTCAGTGGACCTTGCTTGGGAGCTGCAAGGGGCTTTTTTTTTCTTTTTTTTTGTCTCACTATGTTGTTTGATTTCTCACATGTTCACATGT